TATTATTCTGTAATTCTAAGAAGCTTTGATTGTGTGATAACAATGTGCAGAATGCAGACAGATCTTCATGCTTTCCAATGAATAGCTAGTGGAAATAAGGAACTTAATCAGGCAGGTTTCCAAAGATATTGGGATTTGGGGAATAGAAGACAGATGAAAATCTAGCTACTCTTTCCTCAAAGACAGTGGCTGAAATCAATTATGTATAAGGGTAGAGCTCCAAGTAGCTTAAGACTGACTGCAACTGGCTAACATACTGTGGGATATTATTTGTACTGCCACAAGTAGAATCTTAAATGTCCTTGTTAAAGCGTGTTAGCCATCAGGTTTTCAAATAAACACATCCAGTGTGACTGATTGCTAAAACTCTATGGACAGCTAAATGTGTTAGAAAAATGAAGCTGTCTTGCTAATTAGTGTTATGAGATCAAAAAAGGATCAGTAATATGCGTGGTAGACCCTTCCTGACAGAAAACAGTCACCAACTTCCACTCTTGGAAAAATTGTAGTGTCACTGAATAATGAAGGTTGGAACGGACCTCTGGAGGTTATCTGGTCCCACTACCTGCTCAAATTGCAGCCCACTTTGAGGCTAGACTAGGTTGCTCAGGACCTTGTCCAGTGCAGCTTTGAAAACTCCCATGGATTTTATAGATTTTTCAATCCAGAACCTCTCTGGGCAGCCTGGCCCAGTGTTTGACCACCCTCATGGTGAGTGAGGAATTATGTCTAATCAGAATTTTCCTTGCTGCACCTTATGACCATTGCCCCTAGTCTTTTCCCTGTGCACCTCTGAAAGAAGTATGGCTCCATCTTCTCTGTAATGCCCTTTAGGCTGTGGAAGAAACTATCCTTTCTGGCCAGCCGCATGGATCTTATTTTGGACGATTTGTTGCTACAGCATACAGATGTATATCACAGAGTCATGACGTTCAGATTTTTACAACGAGGTTTCTGACATTCTTCCATCAGTCGTTTCCAAAAGGTTTTAAAAAGTGCTTTGTTCACTAGCATTGTGCTCGAGTATGGAGAAGAGAGTTTTTTAATCCATAACTACTAAATTTTCCTGATTGGTAAATTACCCTTCCAAACCTTTCTGATTGCTTGGATAGGTTTGTTTGTCTTTCTGTAGAAAATTACTGCTCTTTGCTTATATTCCTGTGAAGTTTGTCTGTAGTCCTAAGTAAAGATGCAGGGATATTTTGAAAGGCTTTTCTTAGTTGTACTTATGTTAATTCTTCTAAAAACGTTTTTGATCAGAAAACTCCTTCCAAATACTGCACACAAAATTAGCTCCCATCTTTTACAAGTCACTGTTTCACAGCAGACCACAGAGATAGCAAAAGGGATGAGAGTTTTTCAGGGTTCATAACAGAGCTTAAGATCCTTAAATTAGTGACCTGCTTCTTCCCTCAGTCTCGTACTCTGATGGCTGAAGTGACATTGGAGCTACTAGATTTTAAGCGGCTTGTTTCTACGAAGTGATTTATGGTCAGTCAGGTTAATTCAGTAGGACTGAATATCCAGTGAGGTATGCTGACAAGAACGTAGATGTACCCTGATCTTTCTCAGAAGTTATGAGATCTGTTCTGCAGCTCAGATGTTTCAAACTTTGCTAGTGTTTGAACTACCTTACAAATTAATAATGCGATGATGGGATGTGCATTTAAAGCTCACATTTGGGGAAGATGTGTTTGGGAATGGCAATATTTATTTTCTGCATAGACATGCATACCCTAGTTCCTTTCCAGCTGTCTGTCTGATTAGGACTTGCTTCTCCACTTGTTGCCGTGTACGCTCACTTTTAGCCAGTTGGAGTCATGACAACATTGACTGTGCTATTCAGCATGAGATAGGAAAATGGACACGAACTATGACGGAGTTTTAACTTATTTCTTTCAAACAAAGATCTCAAAGAGTTCAAAAAGCTCTCCTCTTTTGAACCAAACTTCTTCCTCTCATTCCTGTCTGTTTGCTTCCCTTGCTGGACCTCCTGAGTGTCAGGCCATCTGCTCATACCACTTCACGTACCACCTGGCACCTTCAAAGGTACCTCAGAAGCTTTTCTGCTGCCTGAAAAATTTCCTGCTGTCACTGTTACTGCTTTTTGTGTTTTGTAGTTCACAATTGCTTCCTCAGCAAAAGTTGCAGGTTTGTAACAGAACAAAGTCATAGCTAGAGTTTGTGCATTGGTTGTGTTACTGAACAACACCCTACAAGATCCCCTATATACAGGGTTGGAGAGAAAGGAGATGGACTGGACACAGAATCACAGAATCACAGAATCGTTGAGGTTGGAAGGGACCTCTGGAGATCATCTAGTCCAACCCCCCTGCTCAAGCAGGGTCCTCTAGAGCATATTGCCCAGGATCATGCCCTGTTGCGGCCCACCACGGACGGAGAGGAGGCTGGCCCCATCCTCTTGACACTCCCCCTCCAGATACTTGTACACGTTTATGAAATCCCCTCTCAATCTTCTCTTCTCCAGGCTGAACAGGCCCACACAAGCTGTAGAGTACACACACACAAGCTGTAGAGTAGCTCTAGAACAGTTTGAGGGAACAAGTTGCTCCATTCTTCTGTAGCATCACCTTTTTTTATATGTCTTTCTATTTAGCCATATCAAAAAATGAAATCCAGGACAGAATTTTGAAAAAACGCAATCAGGAGTAGAGTGGTTAAAGCACTGCTCTGCAGAGTAGGAAACCCAAGTTTAATGAATTATGCATTCATCATGAATCAGGCTACGAAGAATATATTTTTTACTCAAGAAATGTTTAATTTATACAAAATGGAATAGCTGCAACAGAAGAGAGTGCAAGGAAGTGAGAGAGACACCAAATCTATCAGCTGGTAGCTAGGGATCTTACAATGAGTTCTGATTGCCTGAGCAGGCATCTAGCCTGGGGCTATTTAGTAGTCTGATGAGGTTGCAGTACTTTTTGTGCAAAACATTTTTTCAAGGCTTAGTTCTGTTTTAGTGCAGAGTAAAAACAAATGCAGAAATCTCTCCAACTTTCATGAAACAGAGTGTTTGTTTTCTGTCCAGTACTAATCACTATGCTGCTCAGATATTCTGAAGGGAAGTACCCAGCAGGCTCCCATCCCACTGATGCAGCTAAGGAAACAAAGTTGACACAGAGATGGGCTCTAAACTGGAAACAGGGGAGTGTGTAAATTGCAAGTTTTCCCCTAAAAGAACTATAGGGGGTAGCCTAGCCACTTGGAAGGGATCCTTGTGAAGGTTCCAACGTTCAGTTTACCTTGAACACTATTGCTTGAAAAATAACATAATGATCTGGTTGATAGATATGTAAAATACACTTTTGTTTGTATGCATTTAAATATTTGTCCAGGATTTGGTGATGTGGCTTCCAAGTTTACTGAATAATCACTCTTTCTGTTCTCAACTTCTTTTTGTATGATATATGCCATATACTTTGCTATATTATCCCAGCAGCTATTTGTTTATTTAACCCTATGCTAATGGGCAGTGGTAAAAGAGAAAGTTTGAAGTGAAAGCCCAGCCCTACTTTATGGAAAAAGCAGCTTGGGATTTACTGGCACTTTTCATTAAAGCAGAGGGAAAAGTAAGAATGAAGGGCAATATTCGCTAGCATGTCCTACAGTGGGATTTGAGACTGCACAGCTGAAAATTCCGTGGAATGCTTATTTGTGTTCGTTTGTCTGTTTGCTTGCTGCTCTTCAAAATGGCATAGTGCAACCTATGGAGCTTTTTTACATCTAGACCCTGAATTAGGGTATAATGTATAATACCTGTCATTTTCTTAGCACTTCTCTCTTGACTTTACCTGTTGCAAATGGGATAAAAGCGTCTCCCTACAGTTTGGTGGTCTAGTTTGGCCAAGCTCTTGACCTGTTTTCTTGGTTTATGCCTGCAATGCCTGACACTCCTAGTTAATTACTTATCCAAGCACTGGTTAGCACCTGGTATCAGACAATATCAAGTGTAATCAGTAAGAGATGTCCAGGCAAATACAATTACCGGATAAACAAATATTATTTCTTTGTTACTCATATGATGTAGCTCAAGTTAATCCAAACATACAGGTCTGGAGGACAACCCTGTCTGCACTTTGTGAACTTACTACACTTACTGTTTACATAGTGCAGAGGTATTCCTAGTCAAATGGTCACAAATGAAGGACTAATTACTTTACTTCACTCTGTATTACTTAAATGAAATGTGTATTATTGAATATATTTTCCTGCTTCATTTTCCTTCTATAAAACTTCCAACATCATAATTTTTCACTCATCTGTTCTGGTAAAAACATGAAGTAACTCATCTGAACTGAGACCAGATTCATCTTTGCTGTGCGTGATGGGGAAAAGGGCAGGAGGCAGGCAAAGAGGAGGTTGCCCTGAAAGGTGGATACTCCAGCATTGTGTGCGGGCAGCCCATGTGCTGTGCTATTCTCGGAGGCTCCTCTTGCCCTAACCCCACTGCCTGCCAGCCCGCATCTAAGCAGCACTGCCGCAGTGAGAGAAATGGGTCTGCTGTGAGCTTGCTTTTGTAATTTACTTTGCAGGGACCACAGCTGCCTGCAAAATTTGGCAGAACATATTCTTTACCTCTTGAATAAAAGGCAAAGTGAATTTAGGCTGGACAGAGGTTGGCATTAGTAAAAACCTGAAAACCAGAAAAGCACTTGTAAACTGCTTGAGCCACCCTAAAATTTGCCTAAATTAAGACAGTGTGCCTCCCCATAACGAGCTTTTTTAAACTGAACTACTTGGCTCTGCTTAAAGCACCTTTCTTCCAATTAACATTCTCTATTTGTGAAGCAGAATACATGAGAATTATTCCTAGCAAACCCAATTAAAAATAAAACAGTGCTAGGTAACTTCCTGTCGTTTCGGTGGAAGTTTCATTACATTAGAGATTGCTGACAGGAAACACAGTAATGTCAGCTGAGTATCACACCAAGGCCAATATGACAAAAATAAACACCAGCAGGATAATAAGGACAGAGAGGTGAACAAGTTGTCCTTGCTTTATTCTCATAGGTTCTCACTCCAGAGCACTCACGAGTTGCATTTAAAAGGAGACAGCACGAGTGTGAGCACACGTATAAATGCCCAAACACATGCACGCTGAAAAAAATGAATTATTCTCAATTAGTCAGTCATGCAGCAGAAAAAAGCAGATTAGCAGATGAAGAGATTATATCTATTTCTATGTAGGAATGAAGAGCATGATATAATGGAGTTATTAAGAGGGCCACAAAATGAATGAAGATAGCAAATACTAACTTCTTAGCTTCCAGCAGGCTGTCTGCATAAATGAAAAGCACCTTGTAATGCTTATGTACGTGATGCTTTTATTCACCATGAATAGTTGGGTATTAACAGATCTACATAGAATTGTGGCATCAGACTAGACTGAAGATGAAATGATATTCACAGTATTTTCATATGAACATTTGCTCTTACTTTTCACCTGGAATTCAGTTCAGAGATAGCTGGTTTTGTACTATTCCTAGTACAAGTATGAATAACTGAAAAAAGTTGAATACATATTTGAATCACTCTGTTGAACACTACCAGGCGTGCATGTATTTACTGAGAAGGGCGGATACCTTTTATGCATTATGCTTTCTCCAAATTTGGCTAATTGAGCTGGTTAGCCACAGCTGTTACATGAGGCATTCCTAGTAAGAACATTTACTAAGTGCTCAAGACAGAGCACAGATATACTTAGCTGATTCTCACTACATACCTGTAAAATACAAGTGTAAGTATATGTGTAATTCATGCACTTTTTAAGGGGAGAAATAGAAAGAGAGAAGGAGAGATAAGAGATGCTCTTGTTCCCAACTTGTTGTTTACATGTTTCTCCCTCCCTCAGGGAATAACAAATGACCTTATTGCGTCTGCCTCCCTTTGCTAACACTTGTTCTGCCCCTTTGCTCCCTAGATGCCAGTCACACTGTTCTTTCTCATTGATTAAAACAATTATATTAAACTCAGAGCAACTGGTCTATACTCAGCTTGAAATTTGCTGCCTTTAAGATCTGAGGAGACTATGTATCTAAAACTTTGCCTGCTTTTTTTCCCAGCTATACTAGTCGGGCAGCTAAAAGCAATTACCCTTTTTCTACAGATCTTCCCAAGCTTTTCCAAAATGCTTGAGACACTTCACTCAAAGAATGTTGGAAAAAAACCTTACTGTCTTTGCTACTTGGTTGAAGCAATGGGAAGGGAGGCAAGAATATTAGAAAGTAAATACTGCAAGAAGTTTCCAAGTACGTTGGGCTGAATATGAGTTTATGCAGTAAATATCCTCAAATTATTTGAACTATATCTATCCTACTTTTATAAGTATTTTATAGCTTTTTCAAAATAGAATTATTTATCATTTCCTACAGTATGTTGGGTATCATATGTAACTGCCAGTACTGACTGCACTGCTGAAGTAGATGATTGTATTCAGAGGCTGAAAAGCTTTCACATGCTGGAAAGCGTAAGTTGGCCAGCCGGGGGATGCTTGGCTCGTGGATGGAAGTTGCCTAAGAGGCATATGCCTTCTTAACTGTATTTAGCTATTCTCAGAATCACCCCCACACCATAATACACAGATCAACAGGTAGAACAACACTAGACTGAAAGATGGCTTGGATACCTATTTGTGAGTCTCATATGGCCTGTCTCGATAGCCTGTAGTGCCAACCAAACACATGATGTGATTTATGGTGGACAAAGAGAAGATGGATCAAAATTGCTTGGTTTTAGTTACTTGAGATGTGTCTGTGTTACAAATACTTGCCTCTCCTCTTATTCTGGCAGTTGCTGTTAAAGACAGAGTCAAACAAGCAACAAAAAGGAGGAGGATGCTGAAGGAACTAATCAAAGGACTAACATTTCAGAATGGCTAAGGGACAATTCTGAGGCATATTACAGCCCAGATTTTCAAAGGTGTGCAACTTCTGATGTCAGTACTTTTGCAAATTTCTGAGACAGACACAAAAACCCTTTGAGCTTACATCCAAATCCAACTGTGACACAGGCAAATGCAAGTAGACATGTATTTAAAGGGATTTGCATTGGAACTGATTTAAAGATTATTGCAGAAATGGATGCAAGACAAATAAGCAACAACAACATTTATCTGATATTCTTTCTTTCAAACATGCAACATGATATAGTTTTACCAGGGACGGAAAACTAGGGACCAGGGACTACTATGAAGTCCTAAATCAGAAACATTGAGATAAACAGGAACATCCTATGCCAGTTTCCTGAAAATCAGCTAATACACAAATAAATAGTCAAGAAGCTAACCTGAAAGTAAAACCAAACTGTAATTTAAAGTTATTTTCTAGAAGAGCAAATATTTTTTTCCAAAGACTTATGTGCCATCTTGACAGCTAAGTCTTGGTCGCTTAGATGAAGAGGTATCCGGAACACTTAGATAACCGATAGAAGCAACTTAAGAGACCTTCAAGATGGTAGTTGCTCTCTTCTGAATACATTCTGAAACATGCCATGTGAGTTAACTGAAAGCAGACAGCTGTCTGACTTGGCAGGTTCTTGTCTGAATTTGATATGCCACAAAGCTACTCATCACATCATGGCACAAGATCTGTGGAACTTCCAAGACCTGGTACTACTGATTATTGGTTATCTAGTGGCCAGGAAATATTTAGCTGAGGAATAGCTATGTAGATGTCAGAGCAATTGACTATATGTGGCAGAATATTGTATGCAAGCCAGAATCTCGCTGTACAATAGTTTCAGGTAAGTTTGGCTTTATAAAATACTATACTACTTTTGAAAATGAGTTTATTTTTCCACTATTTCATCTATTGTATTGCTTTTTGTGCTGAGCATCTAAGTTCTCTCCTGTCTGAATTCGTATTCCTTTTCCCAAAATAGGATAATCAGACACTTAGTTTTCCAGGCCAAAATGCTAGGATTATTAAGAATAAGGAACGTGTTTGGGAGATGTAGGATGGACAAAATACAGCTTTTCTTACTGCAATATATGAACAGAGAGAATGTATTATCCTTTGTGGAATGCTAGAGAATTCAACAAGAGGAAATTACAATGGATTCTTCCTATTCAGGAAAATAAAAATGAAGGGTGAGGCTTTTTAGCAGCAATAGAATATTTCTTTATACTATTAGCAGTTGATCTCTACATAGAAATATGCAGGTTTGCCAGTCTAGAGTTAGGGTGAAACTGCAGTTATAAATTAATTAAAGCCAAATTTATAGCCAACTGAAGTAAATAGACGATTTGGATTCAGTTGATTAACTTAATACACTAAAGCAGATCTGAACAAAAAGCCTGCAAAAGTAACAAACATGAGCTTGTTCCAGCTGCCTCCTCTGTCTGAAGATATAGGTCCTCTTTGTGCTGCTGGTGCAGATCTAAAAAACAAACAAACAAACAAACAAACAGGATGTTCACAGCACAGAACTGAGTTGAGTTGAGATTCTTTTAAATATCAGAGGTTTGTAGCCAAGGATGAAGTTTGCAGTTCAAGCTAAGCTAGAAGTTTCTTTACAAGAGCTTTTCAGTGGATTCCCAAATGTGCTCAGCTGACATGATTTTATAAACAGGACAGCTGTGTGCAAAACCATGGGTACACCCCTTCCCTAGCCACTGAACAAGACTGTCTCCTTGTCTCTCCATGTCTACGTAGCATCTCTTGCCTTATACTAGAGACTACAGAGCTTTTCTGAGCAGCAATGGTCCTACAGGTCTGTATTTTCACAGGGCTTGATACAGAAGGATCCAGATGCATTGCTAAGTCTCTCTGGCATTGCGGTAATTCACGTTATAAATACCACCACTGACAGGTTGCATTCGGGTTCCTTTCTGCTTATGTTTGTATGCCATCTAGTGGGTATTTTTTTTTTTACTTACATGCTTTCTTTAAATGTCAGGGTGTTGAAGTTAACAAGCTAAAGTCTATATTTTAACTCAGAAGGAACATAGCTCAAGTCTGGAAAAAAGTAAAGGGGAACTCCATTACTCAAAAAGCCCCAAGAATATTACAGCACCCTCTAGGCCACCTGTCTTGCAGCCCTTTCCTTTGCTATGCCTACGTAACAGGAGTTATGATGACAAAAAAGTCACCTGCACAACTCTGTGGGCTGAGGACACTACTCTCCAGAGGCTGAGAAGCCAGCTGTCAGTCTCATAACAGCAAACAGGCACTGGAAGAGGGGATGTGCCGAAGGCCTGGATGCCAAATTTCAATATTTGCTATGGAAGTATGCAAAATGTAGCATGTGTACATTAATGAATACATATAATGCATCAGGTGTCATTTCTGAACAGATATGTGCTCTTAATAGTGATACCATCGCTGACCAAATTGTCCCAGTGTCAGTTAATGGACCATCAGAGAGCTGGGATCCATCCACAGAGAAAACAGATCTAGAAAATAATCATCAAATAATTTATATACATCTGCTTAAGGCTCTTTTTGCAAGGGACACTAAATGCAATGGAGATGTTATTTTTGCAGAGGTGTGATTTGTGGAAGCATGTAAGTATTCATTTGCATTAAGTATTTGAACGACTTAAATTTCAGGCTCAAGCAATGATGTTTAGCATGCAAATTGAGAAGCTCTCCGTGTTAATTAGGGACAGCATAGATACGAAGTGTATCAAGCCAATTACACTGCCATGCATATGAGAAGGAATAGAAGGCTCAAGGAGGGAAGAAGCAAGGAAAATTTTCCTAGGGAGGATGATAACAGCTAAGTCACTTAGCAATTACCCAGGGACAGTATGAGACTGGTGCTTGGCATACTCTAGTGGTTATGATCATGCTAGTACTGACATGGTTGGAAGGGACGAAGTGGCTGCTCCCCTGTTAATCTACTGCAAGCACTGTGTGGTTGTACTGGAGAACTGGTACATTCCTCCCTTAGGTGAAAGGAACAAGACGTTAATGATTTTCAAAAGGCTTCTCATCCAGATTTCCTCTGCTGAGGAATGTACTCACATCACAAGACTTTGAGGGAAATAGTTTAAAACCTGGGCGAAGAGAGAAATCATCCTTTAGGAATTCACAGTATTTTTTTTTTTTGAAGTCCTGTAAAGACTTTTTTCCTCCAGTTTCCTAATATTGTCATCATGTTCATAGCTGTGATTTCACATGGGGCAACTGGATTGTCCTTTGACATTTATGAACAAAACCTTCACCATTCACTTGCAGAACAACGAAACCTTATTTCAACCCACCATAGAAGTGGTATCAAGTGACAAACAAATGCCTCAATAGGCCTACAGCAGTCTGAGTCTATGGTCTACTACGTAAAAGTTTGGAGCTATCGGCGATCTCTAAAACGCCACTGTTTTCATCACATGATTATAGATGGGTCCTGGGACATAATTTGGATGACAGAATAAATGTTGTCACATGCCAAGATGAGAAAAGGTTTTCAGTGACCAGAGGGAACAGGGCGTACTCACTTTCTCTGTAACAGTGTCTTAAAAACAAAAGCTATGCTACAGAGAGACGTACCTCCTTTTCTGCACTACTGCTAGAAAGTCGCAGCCCAGAGGCAGGTAGAACGCATCCAAACCTGCATGCAGCAATAGCATCGCTGTGCTGCCATAAGCAGGGACAGCAAATCAGGCTTTTGATAGCAGAAGTTACCTATGCAGTATTATATGGGTTTTTAGGCACTTGAATTAGGGCAGAAAGGACATTCAGAGATGGGATGTGGCCGAACGTATGGATTATAAATAAAAGCAAATCTAGAGAACAACTTTCATACGTTTGCATATCCTGCAATTTTCCAAACTGTGAGGAAGTTTTCATATTCAGATATTCAAAAATCTTATGTGTACCTATGTAACACACAGATCAGGAAACCTATGCACAAATGAACACAATCATCTTTTCTCTAAGTTCATTGAAATACATCACAAATGAATTTAACCCTTTGTATATAATAAAGAAAAATATTCATAGGAAGGGAGACAATTAAAGCCTAGTTCTGGAGTGATGCTCACTAATTAAGACAGGTGTATCTTATGTATGATCCACATCCTCTGCAGATGGCCTACTGGCCTAAGGCAAATATATTAAAATATAGAAGTTGGGTTTGCAAACAAAATGGAGGATAAGAAAACCTTCCTCAAGATTTGGAAAAGAAAGTTCCAGTAGCTGGAGACATGTTGTTCCACAGATCTGTCAGTTGTCATTTGACCTACCATTTCATTATTCATGGAAGAACAGTAATGAAAACATTTTTGAATTTGCAATAGATTTTGCATCAGAACAGTGATAGTTACAAACTTCATTCGTACCATCAGTAATGTACTGTGTGATTGTGTGATCAATGAGAACTGATTAACACCTAATTTTGAACAGCAGATACTCACAGATAATTGTGCCCAATTTGTAAATAGAAATTGTTTACTCAACACACAGTAAATAATAAACTCAAAAATACTGTATATTGCTTGGGGATGATATACAATAATGATACAGGTGGAATCGGTTGAATTGTTGTGCATTATTTACTTGGCTCTAATGACACTGAGGATGGATTGAACTTTTTTTACTTACGATGAAAAAGCACACTTCGGATGATCAGGATAATCCACACAGAGTAAGAACATTACAGGTCTGTGAAGAGATTACTTTATTTAGCATCTCACAGTTAGAAAACTGAGGAAAACAAAAGAAATGAAACAGACTCAATGGTATTATCACGTCTAAAGCTTCCCTTTAATGATATTTATCTTAGAATCTACTGTGAATGACTGGAGAAATTGTAAGCAATTCTGCAGACATTCAACAGCATTTTTAACTGTTGTCTAGATTTTTGATCCAAATTAAGATTTTAGAGTGAAGTGGAATGGATGATGCCCTCTCCTGTGTCTAACATTGGGTAAGTACAAAGTACAAAGTAATTGCACTTAATTATACAATTAGACGTAGTGTTTTGTTCAACTCATGGCTGAAAATGTAAGCCTGAAAAATGTGAGGCCACCCCTCCAAGACATCAGTCTCTTGCTGAAGACACAACATTAACAGTACTCAAATACTGGAAAATAAGAAATAGTTTAAAAATAGATGAGGTATTCCTGCAAATACACTATATTTATGACGGGTATTCACTTACTTATAATTGTCAGTGCACGTGACATCGTAACCAAGGGTTTTCAGTCTGTTTTCTAATATCTTTACAGTATGAATTCCACAGGAATCTCTATGAGAAAGGATTTTTTAATGTTATTGCAAGCCTTTTACCATGTCATTGTTTCCTTTCACTAAACTTGAAGGAATTAGTAAAGTAAATCACCATTACTTTGCCCCTTGTATGTTTCTTAACACCTATAGAAAACTGAACATTGCTTTTTATAATACTTCATTTGCGTACAGTTGTATAAAATTTTATAGTCAGTTTGCGGAGACTGGAATATTGGCTTCAGCCTATGAAGCGTTTGCAGATTCAACTAACCAGGATTACTATTTTTAAGATTTCATTACAGAAACAGGAAAAGAGCTAAATAATTCTGTGAAATGATAAATAAAACTTTCATTTGTAACATTCTTTGGCATTTATTTAGACAGTGCTAAAGTAGATGCTAGCTGTCTTTATGGAATAAGTTGATTATAATAAATTGGAATTATTTTTCCTGTTGGAAGCTTGTCTTGCTGTCTTGAATATAAAACAAGGCAAACACACAAGGAGACAGAAAAGAACAGAAACAATGCTAAATGCAGCTTTTGTGTCTAGCACTATTTTTTTTTTATTTGGGGCCTAATTAGCAGAGAAAGCTGAGCATAGTATAGAACCTATTCAGACCTGTTCTGTTTGGACTAACCTGGATTTTTTATGTCTTCCTTTTGCTGTATGTGAATGTTACATGTTAGGGCTTTTCAACTATCTTTCAACAATTAAATTAAGAGCAAGATTAGACCTGTTAAAGCCTACTCGGTTGTTGGGTTGATTTTAAGTACTGAGAGAAGAGCCCTCTTGTGGCATTTCACTGATCCTACTAATTTCCAGAACTGTTAAGATAGGAGAAAATGAAAAGAATGCATTAGACAAGGCAAAATAAATACTTCTCACACCAGGATTTATTCTGAAATTCAGATTGGTCCTTTTCTTAGTGAAACTGTACATGCTCTATCCTCACTTAAGGTCTGAATTCTGCACACCTCTCTCTCCAACTAAATGGATTCCAGACCTAATACAGAATGTATTTTTATTTTGTCTAATTCTGGTATTTATATGCTCTTTGGGAACGGTGGAATTGTGCCTTCTGTGTTATGAAAGCATCTAAAATATTTTCAGTTTTATTGTTATGTAATAATAATCAAAGAGAAAACTAAGGTGAAATTTTAAAGGCAAGTTTGAAAAGGACAGATGATTTTTTTGGAAGATCAAACTTACCTATCAGGTCCTTCGATATCATCTACAACCCAGATGACAATTTTTGAGATTTTCTCTTTCTGGAGATTAGGTATTTCATAGTCTGCAAAAAAACTGATTCAAGAAACAAATAGTTGCAACTATAAAGAACAGGAAAACAAATCTTTCTTTTTTCCCTTTTCAGTAATTAGGGCTCTGATCCTGCTGTAGGATAAGGGCTTCCTTAATTTGACTATGTATCTTCCGATCACAATCAGATTTTACACAGAGTTGAAAGAATCTGATTCACAGATGTAACCTGTGCCTGCGTACAGAGATGGACCCTTTGGAGGAAGGAGGTAAGTAGGTAGTTGGTGTTTTGGAACAGAGGTGGCTCTTACAAACTTTTCTTTTCCCTCCTGTCTGGTGATAAAATGACCTTTCAGTGATTACTTTCAGTCCTCCATGAGCAAACAAGAGCAGGATTTGTTTGATTTTTTTAAAGTATTTTTTGATCTGCCTTAGATAAGACAGCTGCTGAGGCAAGGAAAGATGTGAGTATTCTCATCAAAGGTAGATAGTCACTACAGCCACATATTCTCTAATAAATCTCAAGGATAAGGAGCCACTTAAATAAATCCTAAATATAAATGTAGATGAACTGCTGCAGAGCAATACACTTGTAAATCAGGGAAAATGCGTTTGTCCTTAATTGAAGGAGAGAATAAGGTGAAAAGGCAGCTAATCCTTTCTCTTATCTTTCTTATTGAGCTTTTTTGCACTCTCAAACCAGAACGTATTTCAAAATACCTCTTGGGCACGGAGAAATAACAGATCCAAAAACTTTCCCTATAGAACATATGTTGCTCCTAGAACTAACAGAGGCTATAACTCCTGTAATAATGTCTTCTCCTACGGGAGATCCCTGAATAGAAATTTGGTAGTGCTCATCTTGAAGACAGACACAAATATTCTGCCATAGTATGACAGCTGACTTGAAGAAGGCTTTCACAGGCCATTTATCTTACTTGGGCAGCCGTTTGTTAAATGCCTACAGGAGTCAGAGCACTGTTTTCATCCATTTCATGTTAATTCCTACAGACGAGGATACTTCCCACAAATCTTGATAGACCTTGATGCAACAGGCACTTCCAGTTATACACTTCCACTGCTTTGTGCAGCAAAAGACCCAAGCAACCAGTTCACCTTTTTTCAGGCATCAGACTTTGAACACATTATTAATTAAGTTTTCTTACCCTTTGACTGGATAAGCTCCTCCTTCTGCAGAACCATTCAGTAAGACATGTATCACGCCAGAACTGTGCTGTGCATACTGCAATACATAACAACATTTTTTTCAGAACTCACCTTACAGATTGTACATGTGATTTGGTATCGCACTGCATGCAACAACGGCCGAGGAGAGAATTTTACAAAGCAGAATGTTAGAACCGTGAAAATAACATCAAATTCGCACCCTATCTGGTCATTGCAGTAGAGAGGACAAGAACTACATGGCCATTTTTTTTAATTCAATGTATCATCTCAAGCCTATAAATAGCTTCTTCAAGACAGAAATAAAGCATTTTGGCACTCCGTGCTGGGCTTGCTCTGTGAATAGAGGGGTTTCTACCACGGCTGTCAAATGTTTTAAGTACTCAGATCACTTAGAACCTGTCTTCCTTAGAAAATTATAGTGCTTAATGTGCTTAATATATGCATAATATATGTCATCAAACATAGAAATCTAACATATTAGCTAGATAAGGTGAAAGTTAAGTTCCCCTTGTTACAGGGGAACCTCTTCTAAAAAAAGCATGTCTGCACCAGAGGATATAATCTGGTGTAGTTATACCCTTAGATTTCTTTTGATCCAGCAATGCCTTTTTGAACCACCAAGGATATACTCATTAATGTACAAAATGTCCATTAATGAGTTAATGCACATAATTAATTTATAATGCACATAGTTAATTTACAGTGATTGAGGCCATTCGCCAGAAAGATTCCACTGCGTTGTTTTCACATTCCTCCGTGGTAGGGCAGGAGTCATAGTCCAGTCCTATAGGAAGACATGTGATATGTACTATTAAAGATATGATAAGAGTTGTAAAAAGAGACCTTAGAAAGCAATTATTTATATTCTTGCATTACTCACCGAACATACATAATGGTGTGACTTAACATAGAAATGTGATAGTTGTATCTCTTCTATCATTTACCAATCCCTGCAGTTTACACGGTGAGTGACATTCTGTGGTCTGAATAATTTGGCTGAAATGGCTCTAACTACACCTGTGACACAGAGCGCTCCAGGTTCAGAGGGCTGCGAAGGAGGCTTATCTCCTGTGCAGCGTTATTTGGGTTTTGCCGTGTGCCCCCTGACTGCAGTGTTAAATATTTACACAAAACAGGAGGGAATGAGACAGTGAAGCTACCCCTGATTTTTCGTGGGATAAGAGCAGAATTAGCTCTTTCAGAACACAGCAACAGCAGTCAGCATGTTATGGTTTCACGAACAGGTGTTTCACATATCAGTCATTGTCTTACCAGTGCTGTTTGCCTGCCCACACCAGTTTAGCCAATCTCCAAAGAAGCCAAACAGAGTATCACCCAGAGACATGTAGCGACGACTTCTAGCAGAAAAGCTATTAACTAGCAGCTGATTATTTTCCCAGAAGAGAGACTAAATAAATAAAGGAAAACAAAACAGAGAAGAAATGAATCCACTTGGGGGTGAACACAATGAGATTATAGGGTGCTGAAAACATTTTAAAACCTTTTTTGTTACTTCCTTAAAAATCAAACCATATCAATAATCAGCAATGTTACGTATCTATAGGAATAAAGTTTGTTCTTACAGTGGAGTAAATTCTGATCAGTGGAGGTCTGAGAGGCATCCACACCATGCTGGGAATGAACACAGATCTATATGAAATATAATTAGGCCCAGCTTTGCCTTGCTCAGCAGACAGATTTAGAAAAAGGGAGAGAGAAAAAAAAAAAAAGGAAGACATATTTATAAGCCAGATATATCTTAGAGAATTCTGTCACACTGCTACGTTGGCTCATGGTGTGAAAAAAGAATCGTGTCGTCTAGCTGTTATTCCTAGGTTTATAAAATCCTTTCATGAATGAAGCTGTGGTGACATGAGTATTTGTTGGTTTAGCTTGTATCATTTAGACAGAAGGAATAATTGTGCTATCAGAAAAACACCTTTTAAGTATAACCTTTCAGACAAGGCTAAAGCATACACTCTGATGTATATTGGATACTATGGCAGAAAGAGCAGTATTTTTTGCAATTTCACAGCTCTCTGCAATTGCCGGAGACTGGCATCAATTGCTTACTGTTTTCTAGCACAGAACAACAGCCTATCTTATTCCTGCTTAGGCTTGTAATAGAGTATACAACACGTTGTGCCCTGAGATTTGGCCTGTCAGAAGCAGAAGGAAAAGCGGGAAGCAAAAACGATCTTTGCAGGCAGAGCAGTTGAGGAAAAGTAACAGTGGAAGTTCAGCAGAGCTCCTGACATGGCAGGAAAAATGAGGGCCTTCACAATGTGGAAAGGGAATCACTGAGACAAGGAAGGCACACAAATCCCCAGCGCAGAGGAAGCAGGTATCCGCAGGGCTTTTACTACGAATGGAGAGAGGAAGTGGGAATGCACACAGAAGCACTACCAAGAAGGAGAGGCTGTTAGTACAGGAGAAAGAAGAAACAAAGGACACGAAGAGCCCCTGGGGACAGAACAGCTATGGGGAGCAGGGACTCCTGCGTGGAGGAAGGCAGTCCAAAGGTAGTACAAGAGGGACACACAAGCCCCAGAAAAAGCAGTAAACTTGGCCAGTGGGTTGGCTTCTGGAATGTAAGGTCTGCAAAGCAGATGCCAGGAACACTGTGAATCGCTCATTGCTTTCCCTCTCAGTTTACTTATTTTTCCTCAATGGAGACTCCAGCCTTCTAATGTCTAGAAATTTCTCTTACAGCTGCAGAACTGGTGGGATGGACTACTGAGAAGTTACTGCATCAAATAAATGCTGACAAACAAACTGAAGAATACCCTCAAGCTTGAGCTTAGTTTGCAAACTATAGAGGGACCAAAAATAATGAATCATCAGTGAGCTACAGAATGCCTTTTCATCAATTTTGAAATACTACGTCTTGGAAAAGCTGGGGGATGTCACAGGACCATTAACATAACATGAATAATCAGTACCTTGTTAGGCGGAATTGTGTGCAGTGACAGGCTAATAAATAATTCATAGTCTGTAGGTAGAATGTTGCAAGGATCCTTCTTAATAAAAGCATTTTTAAAAGCTTCCCATAACTCTGAACAATTCTTCTCACTGAATCATTGAAAGAAACAAAAAACATTTTTTTTCTCAAAGCAGAGCAAGAGAGTGATTTGTTCCCAATGCCCTCCAATCCCCAAATTAAAAACCTCCTAAGGTTAAGGCAGAAAGCTGAAGACAGGCTGGCAGAAACGTCACAACTCTGGAAGACCACACAGGACTTTCCTTTTCCTTACTCCTTACAACAGCACCTATCCAAAGAGAGTAGGAAGAACTAGAAATGAAAATAACAGAATTTACACTGTGGAATTAGAAATATATAGCAATCCAGCAAAAATCTTAGCAGGTACAGTACTCATAGCGAGATCTCCTACCCAGCACTCTACAGATACGACAAAAAATAGCTTTCTTACAAATTTCTGGGATCTAAAAAGCCATTCCAATTAAAGTGTGGCTAAACAGTCAAAGCTATTGGAATGCAAAATTCCTATTAAAATGTCACATTCAAGAGCAGGAGTTATTAAAAATTTTCATGGTAGAATAATCATGTTGCCAAGGAAACATCTCTAGCGTAAACAGGCCCTAGCATTTGAATGGCCCTGGAATGAATACAGTGACTGTATGGGACATGTACTGTTACTGTGCAGCAGCTGTTAGGACTCAACGTTTAAACTTAAACTGCTCATGAAGAGGGGCTTGAAATAAGATACAAGATTGTGCACTAGAGAGGATTAAATAGTGCCCCTCTGCTGGCTTTGCCTTAGGGACAATTACCTCCTGTAGAAAGACAGGACAGGTCGTTTAGGGACAGAAGTGTCTTAAATCTCTGGATTTGCAGGAGCTTATCTGTTAAACAAACTCTGAGCCTGCCTGGAGTAATTAAAGAGTGAATTGCTACTTTCACCACTTCCCCGCAGTAACTTCCCTGCATATGCTGTGACAACGTCTATGCGGGGAACACTCTGCAGAATAGAATAAAGCATTTTTTGTGTATAAAGCATTCCTGATGTGAACAGCTGTAATTGCAAAGCTGTACCTTGAGCAATAATAGTTCCTATGAGTAAACCAAACTTTGCCATTAGAGCGTTTTGCTCACATAATGTCATCCATATATAGCAGGCTTTCTGCTGGTGCTTCTCCTCATGAGATTTTTGAAAGAGCTCCTTTGAGGTGCTGAACGCCCCAGACTCTTTAAAGGACCCCTGAAGACGAGTTAAGCAAAACTCAACGCATGAAATGGACTACAGAATTTCTGACAGTAATCTCTGATCAGGCTTCCAATATGTATTTAAATAATAACATATCTCAAAAAAAAAAAGCATCTTGATCTCAATATCCTGAGTGATGCAATATGACTCTTGATCGGTGGTTCCCATGTTCAAATATCCTCACTTGGTAAAAGGATTTGCACCTGATGTCTAATTTCGAATTGTAAAACTTTAGCTTCTGACCACTGGATATATTTATGTCTCTTCCTGCTAATGAAATGCCTACTGTAAGCACTCACTTTTTCATGTTAGTACTTGTAAGTTATGATCAAATGAACTCTTAACATCTTTCTTGACAGTTGAATCCAGCAGTAATTGTCTGGTTAATTCACTTACTGCATTTTTTCATTCATGTCTTTTCATCTCATGTTTGAACAGCTTGCAAATCAAAAGGATTATTCCGCTCTGTAACTCAAAATATCTTAGCTGGCAAAAATACTTTTGAAACTACAGGGTGGGGAAGGACTGCAGTTCAGGACAATTCCTTCTAATCTTAATGGATATCAGTAAGTCACAGGAGTTTTATTTCACAGTACTCAGTTAAAAAAAAAATACATTTTGAAAACTTACATTCTATCCTGCCAGCAAAGAAATATGGGGGAAAAGCACTACAGCAATTTTTATATTTGCGTAATACAGCATACTTGCATTATAAAATTTCAGATATGATTTTCATTCAAATCCCTCACTTCTGCATGACTGTAACATTTTATAAAATTTTTTGACTGCAATTTTTGATGTTCGGTCTAAATGTAGAAGATGTTTACAATGTTCCAATGTTCCAGATGTTCTAATGTTTCTATAACTATTTTTATATTTTATACTTTTAATAAATATTTGTAACTGTGCCAAAAGGCAAAGATGTGCTATTCTAGCTTTTTTTCTGTTAACAAAATATTTATTTAAATTATTCTATTTAACCATAAATTCACAAGCAAAACCTATCCAGGTGGCTATGTCTCTGTAATATTTAGCTTGGGGGCAATTAAGAAACAGACAATGAACAGAAAGATGTGTTCGAGTATCGGTTTTGCACCTCTGCAATATGAAATTTCCATTTTGTTTAGATTACACTATTTGCTGATAGACATAAGGGAAAGAAAAAAATACATAAAATGAAATGAATTGTGCTGCTGTTCTTTTTATAATACCGTTTTGGCCCTTAATTCAGGAAAGCAGTGCTAATGTCCAGCTTTGCTTCGTGCTGTTCTGAGATTCTGATGAATGTTTTCAGACTTTTCAATTTTAAAATTATGCTGTGAAATCACAGAAATTAGACCCCAAGGCTTTTGTAAACATGACATATAAAAACACTTTCAATAATACTGGGTTTACATTTTAGGAAGTTTAAATTAGTAAATGATAAAGTTAACATTTCCACAGTTAGCCATCCTTTATGTTGTACATTTTAGGGTACTTTGGATCATTAGTTATGCTCTGCTTCAAATATAAATAAAATTACATCCATTCAATGGAATGGTAAGTCTGCCTATCTGGAGCACACTGCAAGATCAGACTTCATAAATCCAAATGACTTAAATCTGTGGTAATCTATAGTTAAAGCTTTCGGATGCCTTCCACTCTGAAGTGTTTAAATTTGCCAAGCTTGAAGTCTTTAGCTAAAATTTCAGTCCTGTGTATTTGCCTTAGGATGTTTTTTTCATAGGCCAACTTCAACCAAAGTGGTTTAGCCGTGTTAAGAAAGTTACTAGTAAGAAACATATTTTTTTTTCCTCTGTTAAAAGTCATAAAACTGTTTTCATGAGAGGTCCTTGTATCTTCCTGTTTTGCAGCAGGAACTGAAAATGGGAGGTTGCGGCAAGGTGGTGACACTTGCCGTTATTATGCAAAAGAATCTGACTTTGTTTAAGGCTGCAATCCTGTGCCACAGAAACCAAGCTAGGCCCTCTCTGCAAATACTACTTCAAGCTATCCAGAAAAATGTTGGTGCCAGGAGAAAGGGCTGAATTCAAGAATGTCTTTTTAGCATTCCCCTTTTTACTAAAGCCCAAACAATGCAAGAAAGACGGAAAACATGACCCTCTTACCAAAGTGGGGGACTTGCCACCCAGTACTGTCTGATTAACACAGACAATGAAAGTTTACAGCTACTACTTCAGCAGCGCCTGCTTTCGCCGGTGGAGGAGCTAAACAGATTCTTTCAGTAGCACAGGACAGCTATAAAGTGTGGCCCTCTTAAGGGACCTGACAAAGGGAAATTGGTCTTCCTAGGAGCGCTGCACTTACTGTATGCGTGTAGTAGATTTGGTGTATTAGAAATACCATACCCACAATTTTTGTGCCCTGTTTTCCTTGTAGAACCCTATACTACAAGGGGAAAATGTGAAATAAAAAAGTTGAAGCAGTAGAAGTCTTACCTTATTTATGCTACTGTTATCATTATTACATTTATCAAAGCTCATTTTTTGTTCCTGGACAAGCATGTCGGCTTCAGTAGGTCAGCTCTCATGGCCGGGAGTGAAATATCAGGCTTCTGTTTAGTAAACATATTCTAGATAACATAAAAACGAATTCAGAAACAAGCAAGAACTTACCCAACAGAAGGATTCACAATTCTAGTGTACTCATAACACCTTCCAATGACAACGCTTTCCAGGTTTTGTGTTGTACCTTCACCTTTCCATTTATGTCCTTGGCCTTCAGAAAAGCTTTTCATAAACAGAAGAGAGACAAGTAAGAGAGAGAAAAAAAAGCTGCTCATTATGAATTCTTGACAACCCAAGTTCTTTAAAAAAAAGATTAAAAAGGAGAGTTAAATGATACAATTTAAATGGAAAACAGAAGGTTTAACAGGTAATATTTTCAAAACAGGCAGTAGCTCTGTACGCAAATGACAAAGTTACACGGAAATCTAAACTTTGCTGGAGAATGTAATCTAACTGTTTCCTGGAATGATTGCAGCACAAGGATACATCACTTCCTTAAATTTAAATGTTCTCAGCTTCGGAAAAACGTAGTTTTTAGATCAAGAGGTTGCCACCTGGTGATAACTAGACGGAATTACAACATATTTTTGTAAAAGAAAAAACACTTCCCATTTCAGTGTTATTTACAATGCCTTAGGCTTGCTGAATACTCATTGCAATCTTAAATGCTAAAACATCGCAAGTGCTTGCAAGCAACAAGCTTAAAAGTACTTTCATTTAATGTTAAAAAAGTGCTACCCTTTTTGCATATATTTCTCTAAAGGCTGAAAAAAAGGCTGAAATACATATCAAGAAGAAAATGAAATATGCAAGTCCGCATTCATAAAAAGCCAGATTTTCACGTTATCTTGCATCGCAGATAGGGGTAACAGTGGTCAGCTCTTCTATTTTTCCCCTGGATACTGGCAGCAAAATTTTGGCGTGATGACAAGTTTTAAACTATTCTTAGCGAACAAAAGTGTCTTGCAAACAGGAATAAATCATAATGAGAACCAAAAGGATTAAGGTATGCTTCCTGTGCATTGAAGAAATCTCTTCAACTTCCACTTATGTTTATTTTCCCTCCAGCTTCTCCTCTCCAAGTACTTTGTTAGATCATCAAATGGGATAAATTAATCCAGCCTTCACTGTAAATCTTCTGTTGTATACACCGCTGGGAAAAACAACCAAACTACTTTTTTTCCACCCCTTTTTAAAAAACTTCTCTTTTCAACCGGAGCGTAATTTGTCTATGGATTCACATTTCTGAGAAATGTGCTGATTCCTTTTATTGTATTAAATAGTCCTCATGCCTCAGTGAATACATATATCTTTATTAATTATGTCTTTATTTATATAGTGTTATGCTAACCTGGGTGCACCAGTACTCAGCTGATGGATTTTGCTGTAGGCAGAATCTTGCTAATTGTTGAGTAAATTGCTGATGATGGATTTCTCCTATAAATGTGATATAACAAGTTGATTTGTTATCTGCAGCATCTTTTTAGGAGTGCCAGAGTTATCCTGCAACAGATGTGCCATGTTGTGTTTGATATGCTTGAGACACAGCAAATGCTGTACTTCATTTCAGTTACTTTTGTGATGCATTTTCTCCATATTTCCTTTTTGACATCTGTGAAACATGATGGCCATGTTGATCAGGGACAAGGATATTAACCAAATGGTTTCAAGTTCACTGCTTCAGGTTTGGGCTTAGAGGCTTTCAATCATCCATGGAACTCAATGAATGATTTTTGTTATTAACTTCGCTGCAGTCAAGTCTTGCCCAGTCATTTCACGACTAAGAAAAACCAGAGGCATCACTCATGTGATGCTCTGTACAGAATAAGACAGAAATTTTCACTGATTTTTGCATCAAGACTGAAACGTCTAAGTAAAGTATACAGTGCATTAGAATGACATAAAAATGAATAGAGTTTTGGAATGGCTTTTCTGCAAGGACACACCAAGTTCGGACTCGCCAACTCTGGAAAGATGTGGATGCTGCTCAGTGGTATTCTGCAAGAAGACATGACATGTCATGCCATTCCAGAGGGAATGGAAATATATCCAACGGTTGCTGGGATCCCCATCTCAAGCTCTATTGACTTTCCTTTCCTCAATGGCCACTTTGAGAAACACAGCATTAGGCTACGTGGGTCTCTGATCTGACTCAGTACAGCCATCTTTAATGCACGTTCTTACGCAAATTTGATTAAAATATTTTGTGTGATGGCTAATCTAACACATTGCCAGGGAAATTGTTCCAACAGTTGGATAGCCTTATGGTTTAAGCATCAAGTCTGAACTTGTCTACCTTTAGCTTCCCATCACTGGATCTCATGATGTCCTTTTCTGTTATGTTACTCAAAACAGAAATAGTCTCTCCATGTAAATCCTTATAGACCATGACCAAGTCGCCTCTTAAACTTGTCCATGAAAAATTCAATTTTTTAATCTCATTATTAGGCACTTACTTTAGTAGTACTGTACTTCAGTGCCATGATTGGCTGTCCAGCTTGCCTCCCAAGCTTTGGCACTTCATGCTGGATGTAGATCACTGCCCCTAGCTGTCTGTCCACCTCTCCTACAAGAGGTTACTGCCCATGAAGCAGAGTCAGCAAGGCCAGCAGCATATCTGCGCTGGAGATACTCCGATTCACAAACTGCATATTAACTCAAAATCAAATTTAGCATATGTTTATATTCTGAACCCTTGGAGGATGAGGATCGGACATGTTCTCTCTTGTTATTTCTACCAGATGAGAGCGGCAACTTCCAGCAGAAGAAGGGAGTAACAGCTGGGAGCATTAATCTCCCGTATTACTCAGGCATGGCCTGCTGGCAGACTGACCCCAGTTCTGTAGGATTTCAAGCTTTACGGTTGGAAATATGACCTTAAATTTGCCTGCATTAACAAGCTCTTCTGTAAGCAACAGACTTAACCAAACACTGTTTCTTGAGGGCTTGCATCTCTGTCATAAATCTCAATCGTAAATCCTACTTAGAGCACTAACCCTCCCTCTCCCACTTGTCTGCTGCTATACTCACTGTGCAAGAAATGGTGGGTACTGGGGGTAGTGCAGAGCCAGAATTGTCTTTACTGGTCAAGCAGTAACTGGTCAAGCAGTAAATGCAACCATGTACTGGCTGGCCGGCTGTATCATACCTGTGTTTTGCCTTCCTTTCCCTCTCTCATACATAGCTGCTGATTTTCCCCAAAGTTGCACAAATCTAAATTCCTTTAAGATTTGTAAACCTTTGTCAAATATGATTAAGTAGGCCAACAGGTTCAGAAGTTTCTGGGAGGAAGAAAGGGTGGATGGAAAAGGAAGCACCCAACACTGCAATTGCTCAAGCCTCATTTCCGTCAGTAGAAAGATTGCTCAGTACTAGACGATCTAGATAACTTTGATCATGTGATGTGTTCTTCTTAAATTATCTACTAATTTTACTAGCAATAATTTCATATTTTATTCCAAAGCATTACTATGTTGAGGAACACTTACTAAAAATAAGTACTGCAGGCCTTTGCTCAAAATATTTCCATCTGTTTATAACTAATTTTTTCACATTTGTTAACTCACCAGCTTTTAATCTGTTTAAGATATACAACTTGGATTTTGTCTAGTTTTCAGTCAGGAACTTCTGCATTTACTGTATCTTTGGCAATTTGGGGGCGGGGTGATTTATAACACGTGGACATGTGGGTGGACAGCGTTACAGCTTCATTTTGCTAACCTAACCTGTAATCTCAAGGCCGCTAAGGATTCCTGGATCTTTCGAGGCGTTTTAGGGGGGGACGAACCCCGAAGGGCAGCGCCCCTGCCCCTTCCCCCCTCGGACGTTAAACACAGGCAGCGCTTGGCGGGTACGGCAGCCCGGGCCCCCCGGCCGGGGCACTCTGCTCAGCACCGCGCGGGGTTTTGGGGGGCCGGGCCCTCGGG